AATATATATCCTGAAAGTGACTTAACATTATCATGTATAACCCCAGTGCATGACTAGCAGGAAGGGTGAAGCAAATTGAAATCTAATATGACAAGAAGTCAGTGAGTGTCTCTTGATAGCACAAGTTCTAAGGAGATTAATACATCTTCTTGGTTCTCAAGACAAAGTATGAAACCTGTTTATGGATAATGGAAGAAAGAGTAGATTGAAAATGTCTGGAACACACTAAGTGAATACATTTAAATAAATTAATGTGACAGCTGTTCAACATCTTCAAACTATGGTATTCAAGGAAAAACGGCATTCCAACATTTTTTGTTGGAACTCTGGAGTTCTGATGACACTCATAAAAGGGCAACAGCATTCAGCAACAATCAAGGGGCTACAAGTAATCTATGTAGTCTAGTATATTTGTGAAAAATTCCACAGCATTTTCAAATCTCAGTTTGAAATAAGGCAAAACATAAAGCCAATAAAAATGGTTCTCTTGTTAAACTTCCTTTAAAAATACTTAAGAAGAAAACAGTTGTACCTATCACTTCTAACCTGTTTTCTCCAGGGAAAAAAAATGAATCCAAATGATGTGCAAGCCATTTATTACTGTGTGAATGCAACAGGCAGGAATTACAATACCTCAATAAACTGACCAATGTGTATAAAACAGATGAAATACAAAGACGGAGGAGCTCAGTACAGCAATAAAAATGCATCTCAAGATAGCCCTTGTTAATTTCCAATTTAGCATTGGGGGAGGGGTTCAATCTCCTGTTGCCCTAAAAGATGGTTGGAGGTTTTCTTCCATCTTTTCCACATTTTGCTGTGAATAGCCTGGTTTAAATTATGGTGAGCAACTGAGAGAACAAAACATATTGTTTTTAAAAAGAATGGAAGCAATGCATCTTGATGCTTTAAAAATGAATTTAAGTAGACCGTAAAGCAAAGATGACAAATGCTGTTTGTCTGAAGTCCAACTGTATGCGTAGTTAAAATCATTAAAGTTCTCATGGGGAATTGTACGGGGAGAAATAATTAAGAAATCTCTCCCACAACACTTCTGACCACCTTCTCATTGAGCAACACTATGGCGCTCTCTAAGCAAGATTTGTAGATTTTTGCTCACCTAACCGTGAAGTTCCGCAGTCTAGCGTAATTGCTCTGACTGCTGGGGTTAAAAGCTAAGAGAGAAAGAAATAACTCATCAATACTCAAGCTTCAGCAGAAGAAACCAGGAAGCCTTTTGTTTTACCACTTCCTCCCCATGCCATGGGGGGGGGGGAGTTTGCTGGAATACTTCCTTCATCTCCCATTCTTATATACTTTAACTAGTTAGAGCTGTATGCCTTTTGCAGTTACTGGATGTGAGGAGTTGTTGTGATTGATTAGAACAGGAGCAAGCAGTTTTCCTCTGATTGTAATTGAGTAGGGTCACCAATCACCAGGTGGGGCCTAGAGGTCTCCTGAAATTACAACTGATCAGAAATCAGTTCCCCCGGAGAAAATGGTGGCTTAAACTCTGCTGAGGTCTCTCCCCATAAACCATCCTCCCTAGGTTCTGTCCCAAAATTTCCTGGAATTTCCTAACCCAGAGTTGGCAACCCTACCTACAAGTCATTTTTTCTGCCATTTTGATTCAAACATAAAATTATATCATTATTGCTACCACTTTAAAAGAATATCTGCACAGCTACCAGAAGAGCCTGATCTCATCAAATCTCAGAAGCTAAGCAGGGTCAGCCATGGTTAGTACTTGGCTAGGAGACTCCAGGGTCACTATGCAGAGGAAGGCAATGGCACGAACTCTAATCTGGGAGAACCAGGTTTGATTCCCCATTCGTCCACTTGCACCTGGCTGGATGACCTTGGGCAAGCCGTAGTTCTGATAAGAGCTGTTCTTGAAAAAGAGCAGTTTCTGTCAAGAGCTCTCTCAGCCCCACCTACCTCACAGGGTGTCTGTTGTGGGGAGGGGAAGGGAAAGGAGTTTGTAAGCCACTCTGAGACACCTTTGGGTAGTGAAGGGCAGGGTATAAATCCAATCTCTTCTCTTCTCCTTCTATGAACATCTTTTTTCCCTTGAAAGCCCTATGTGGCCACCATAAATCAGCTGCAACTTGACAGCACTTTACACACACAACACAACATGGCTATCAAAGCATACTATAGTCAAGGCCGAGGTAGATCTGTGTATATTTTTAAGTGGTTTCATGCATCTACCTGGCCTTTCCCAAATTTTTCTCCTCTCTGTGGTGCCTTGCATTGTGTCAGAGGCCACTTAGTCTTTTGGAAGGACTTTAACAACAGCTCCAGACAGGAAGACTTGTTTCAGAATCTCTGATATATTTGCAGGATCTGTTCTGGTAGCCTCAGCCTTTTACTGCTGCAAAGCCCCAGTAGATCAGTGACCTCTGAAACACATAGTTCTACTTGGACTTCATATTTCCTTTTTACCAAACAGCTACTCAGAACCAGCACAGTTAGATGCCATTTAAATGTTACTGTGGCACTGTAGGATGAATCCAAAGGAAAGTGCTTCCCATGCTGCTGGCGTAACATTTAAAGGGCACCTTATTCTTGGAAATGTGCCACTGAACTCAGTGGGACCCACTAACAAGAAATGTGGTGCAAAATAATTTAAGCTTCTTACATTAAATTATATAATTTTTTTTAGCCATGACAAGATATTCCGCAGCATTCCCTGAACAGGCAGGGTTTTCCCCCGACTGAACTTACAATACACTTCAGTTTATAAAATCTATCCTTTCAAGAAATGTACACAATTAAAAAAAGAAAGCCCCAAACGTATGTTACACCAGTGATGTGACGCTAGAGTGCTGTATATCATTACTAATAGAAAATATAATAGCTTTTTTTTGCTCACTTAAATCAAAGCAATTAGCCTTGAAATAAAACCTGGCCAAAATGCTAGTAACTCTGTAAGAAAACAAATGCTACATAGTTAACTGGTTTCATTTTATTACTTCACCTGAAAGCAACTGAGGGTTAAGTGTCAATACTGCAAGTTTTGAAATCATACATAAGGTTGGCACTGATATGTTTTAATTTTTTAAACAATCAAGAGCAGGGTCTCATTTATATTAATTTTATTGATAATACAGCTCCCTTTATGCAGAACACATTTTCTTTGTAAATAAATGCCTTGTATTTAAATAGAACCTTCCCAGAAAGGAAGTATTGGCTACTGTTACATCAACTAGATATGTGCTTAAAGTTAAATGATCGAACAAATAGAAGCCTGCAAGCATTTTCAGATCTGTTTGTTTTCTAATCCTTTCATTATTCCATTTGCACAGACATGCATATGCTGACTGCCCTGTGACAGTGCTGCTATACATTGCTCTGCATCCATTCCTAACCCACATAGCCCATTCTGTCCTTAGCTCCTTGGAACCTAGCAGCTTAATTCCTTCACAGTCAGATGTGAACACTGCAAGACTCAAGCCTGCAGTCATCTCTTTTATTTGCTTTAATTTCCTCTGGACTTTCTTGGCAAAATTACTTTTCAGAAAACCTGTGTGTTCTGTGCTTTATTTTGACACATTTCATACTCCTGTAACTGCAAGAAATGCATTAACTGTTCTTCCAAAAACAACTTTTGACTATGCTATCAATATATTGACAAGTTGGGGACCCACAAGGAATTGAGAGAGAAATAAATCACTAGGAAACTTCTCCCTGACCCAAATCGCCCCCCTCCAGGATACTATAAGCTCTTTTGCACTTGAACAGGTCCATTTTTCCGTCTCCCTTTGTTTGCCCCCCATTGCCCTCTGCATTCACAGTATCTTGTGTTTTTGAAAGGAAAATGACTTATTATTCTTTTTAATTTATAAAGATATATTATTTGCAGGGCCACATTAACATACTGGCAGGCCATGGATGAAACAAAATAACAGGCCCCTTGCTTACCCTTTCTTAATTAGAAGCAACTGGGGACATGGTTTATGGGGTGAGGGGGGTAAGAAACTTCCTTGCACTTCTGTTCAACATTATGTCAAATCTAACAGAATTATGACAAACTTACTGCTTACTGTCGAGAGGGACAGACTATGCCAAACATTTTGTAATTGTTTCCCACAGGTGCCCAAACCCAGTGAGTTAGGCTTACCTCTCAACTCTGCTGCAAGTAAAAAGCTGTGTAGAGTTGCCAGCCAGTGGCTAAAGACCAGGAGGAGTAGGGGCATGTAGGGAGCACCATCGGCAAAATTAACAAAAAGCCCACTTCTAACAAACAAACAAACCAGTCTGATAATGACTGGGCATGTTCCAGGAGGCCCAGAATTCTGGGAGCAGTCAGTAGACAGTTAAGGGGGAAAGTGGACTGTTCTATGTCCTGAGAACTTATAAAATCCCAGAGAAAGAGAGATATTGGGCATGGGTGGGGGGGGTCCAAATCACATCTCCCTCTTGCAAGTCCTCCACCCGTCAGTCTAAAACAAAACATCACAAGGTTGAGAGCCTATCAGCAAGGCAGTGAAACATAGCCACCCATTGACCAGGTGGGAGTTTCTGCATAGTTGGGGTATTCCAAATGCGAAGAATAATCAAGGCCATTTTATCCAATGGGCAAAGGAGGGGTGATTGCCCCGGGCCCACAGCCACACACAGGGAACTGCTCCCAGTATTAGCAACACTGCCACTTCCCCACAGTCGCTTGCTCCTTCCCTTCCCTACCTACATGGAATAGCAGGGAAGTGACATTGCACACAGCAAGACATGTTCATCGCTGCTGCAGTGGAATTGTTCACGCCCAATGGGATGCAGAAGGTGAGACAAGCTTATTGTCCTTGCCTATTGTCACTACTTTGTGCATGGGTAGCCTTTTTTAATTTAAGGCGTATGTCTTTCCTTACAAATCTCAGGCTCCACCATTGCAAATTTTAACTGAATCTTTATGTATTCATATATAGCAAGCAGCATAACTGTTTTTGTGTATATTTTAATCTTTTAAAACAAAGAAAATCTTTCATAAACAGTTAACTTGCCATGATTTTGGTTCTCCAAAGTGAAGATAATTTATACTGTAGAGATCCATATCTTCAGTGTGCCATGCAAATGTTGTTTTCCACATGCCAAAGTACAGATATGGAGTGTTGACACCCTCAATAGAGATTCCACAGTCTTCTTCTACAACATCCAATATACTATTGAGATGAGCAATATTCCATTCATTAACATTCTGGAACAAAGACATGATATCTGATCAGTAGGATATGAATAAATAAATGCAAACCCATACAATTAGCTTTTCTCTAAAAAGGCAAAATCTGTGGCATCATGGGAGACATCAGAACAATTACTTTTCTCTTTATAATTTGGCCAGGTAACTTCACTGGACTCAGAACAATTACTTTTATATACAATTAGCAATTATAATTTGGCCAGGTAACTTCACTGGACAAGGTAGGCCTCTGTTCAGAGCAGGGTAGTTATAAATGCACATTGAAGGCACCAAGAGCCTGTTTGCTTTTTTTAGTGAAAAGTTGGGACTTAAGCATAACTAATTTTCTGAACTGGAGTCAAAGGGTGGATTCAAGTAAATGTTAAAAAGCAGATGCCTAGATAGTAGGCAGTTACTATCTTAAAAATAAGAGCCCTGTGAGATAAGACCAATGGTCGATCTTTTCCAAAATCCTGTTTTTCCACCGTGGCTGATCAGAAGGCCCAGAAAGCCCACAGCAGGGGCAATAAGACCAAAACCTCCCTCCACTGCTGCCCTCCAGAAAGGTGCCCTCCCAGAGCCATCATGGCAAGAACCCATCTTAAAGCCCATCTAAGCTAATGGCCCATCACCACATCTCACAGCCGCAAGTTCCACAAGTGAACTCCATATTGTGTAAAATATTTTATTTTGTCTGTTCATAAGTGTGTCTGGGTGCTTAGTATTTTTCAAGAAAGGTAAAAAGTTTTCTCCACACCATGCAAATAATACAGTAGTGCCATGAGTCAAGAATAAAAGCTAATTTAGGAACAGGTAATCAGTTTCAATTAAAACTTTTATATCCTGCCTTTCTTTCCAACTAAGGCACCAAAGACTTAAAAAGACATTAAAATCAACTTTTTAAAAGCCATATATACACAGTAATGCAAAAAATCAAGAAAGAGAATCAATAAGGAAGAAAAACAAAATAAAGCAAAAGTCTTCACCTGCTTGCAGAAGACAATAATCGATGGGGACAGATGAATCTTCCTGGGGAGAGAGTTTCACAGTTTTGGTGTCATGACAGAGAAGGCCCTTTGTCAAGTTGTCCCCTCTCACCTCAGATGACGGGGGCATGTGAAGCAGAGCCCCCAAAGATTACCGTAATGGTCAGACAGTGTCATAGTGGAGTAGATGGTCATTAAGATTTTCTGGCCCCATGTCATATAGGGCTTTAAAGGTCAATACCCATATGCTGAATTGGATCTAGAAGCTAGTTGAAAACTAGTGTCGTTGAAACAAGACTTGAGCAGTATGGCTTCTAAAACCCATTCCAGCCAAGCATTCTGTACCAACTGTAGTTTCCAGGCACACTTCAAGGGCAGCCCTAGACAGAGCACACTGCAGTAATCTAATCTAGGTGTTACCAGGGCACCACAGTGGCAAGATCTTTTTTCCCAGAAAGTCCTCAGTTGGCTCACCAACTGGAGCTGGTGGAAGGCACTCCTGACCAGAGCTGCCAACAGGAGGCAACTTGCTTTGGCCACAGGGTCTTATTCTCCCCATGAAGAAGAAAGTTTGCAGTAGGTCACATTCTTAGATGCCTCATTGATCCTAGATATCCCAGTAGCAGAGATGATAAGGAGTGAGTGTGTCCAGCTTAGGTTGATTCAACAACTACAGCTTTTCTGGAAAAGGCAGAGGGAGCCACAATCAAACAGGCTGGACTACTGTAATATGCTCTACATAAGGCTGTCTTTGAAGACAGTTTGGAAACGTCAATTGGTTCAGAACACAGCAGCTAGGATGTTTACAGGTGCTGAGTGCAGCAAACATACTAATTCCATTTTGCAACAACTATGTTGGCTCCCAGTGTACTTCTCAGCCCAACACAAAGTAATGGTGTGCATCTTTGAAGCCCTAAATGGTTTGAATCCAAAGTACTTGACTGACCATCTCCACCAGTACATACCAGCTTGTGTCCTGAGTCAATTGCAAAACCTTACTGCAGGAACTCTGGTCACAGAAATCTGATCTGTAAGAATGTTCATGGCTGCGGTCAGGTGTGCATTTTGATCTGCTGTTGCCTCACCTCTAATTGATCCAGGGTATTTTTTAACAGAGAATACTGATCAGACTCACCCCTTTTAGCACTCATCAAAGCACTTTTACACTGTCCTTGATTGATCAGATGCACATCAGACCCAGCAGTCAAGGAGTGTTGCTGTCGGCCACTTTTTAAAAATGGTTTCTCCCTTGAACATGCCCACAAGCACTGATATGCCTTCTGGGATATGTGGTTCATGGGGCCATCAACCATTTTTTAAAAAGTTTGTCTTCTGAGCATGTGCACAAGCGCTGATCAGCCAGCTGGGACATGTAGTCCCCCCCCCTTTCTAAACTTTTTAATTTACCCCTTCCCCAAAGCAGAGGAAAAAGCTGAAGTACAGGGGCATCTTTTTAAAAAAGTTTTTATGAAGAAAACAAAGTTTAGAGCAGCCCCTGTGGGAGAGGGGAAGAGAGAGAGGGGTGTGAATATGCAGTTATGTGCACATCATTAACTAATAAAAATGGCGGCTGAAAAACAAGAGACTAGTCAGATCTGCCTAATGGCTTGGGTGTGCAACAGAGCGGTCGGACAACAGGAAATCCAGTTTGAAACCAGCTCAGGCCAAAAGGACTGGACTTTCACAGGCATCAAAGAAACATACTGTGTGGGGGAGGAACGGGACACAGATGACTGGACACAGATGTTGCTGTCTCATCATGTATTTTAAATCTGTAAGGGAACAGCAACAGATCAAACTGCATGTCTGATCACAACCCATGAGGGCTTTCTTGAGAACCATCCCTGCTCTTTGGAACCTTCTCTCTCCACTGCACTGCAGGTGGTTTCTTCCTTAGAGGCCTTCCAGCCTAATTTTTTATTCCAAAAGGCCATTTTGAGTTAAATCTTGTGCTTGTAAGTTTCTAAGTGGTTACCTACTTCAACTGTTTTGAACAGAGTTCAGGGAGGGCAGGGTATAAACTGAATGAATGAATGAATGAATGAATGAATGAATGAATGAATGAATGAATGAATGAATGACATATAATAACAGTGCAATCCTAAGGGGGGGCTGAAAGCACTCAGGAAGCCAACTGACACATAAACCGGCATATTTCCAAGATAGGAAGATGTAAGGGCCAGTAACAATGGCACAGGCCTCCAACACCTCTCCATGGCTCTTGGGCACTGGCAGAGGCCATGGCAGCTGCCTGTTGGTACAACCAAGGCATAGGTCCCTGCGCCAGTGTGGCTGTGGGCAGTTTCAGGGGTGTGGCCAGAGTTAGTTGGCTCCCTGAGGCCTTTCAGCCTGGGAATGCCCCCCATCAGAGGTGGAAAGTTAAGCCAACAAAAAAAACATGGCATGGCCCACAGGCACCAACTGAACTGAAAAATCAAGTGCCCCCCCCCCCAACTGCAGCCAGGCCATTGGACCTGGAGGAGCTCAGGATGCATACTACAGGTTCAACCAATCACCTCTCTTCCCAGAGGTGGCCAAGTCCCCTCCCTGGCACCCAATCACAACCCCCCCCCCCCCCCCCCCTACAAAAAACCCACCCATCCTACAAAAACCTCAGCCAGGACATCATACAACTCAGTACTTAGGGCACGCAGCATAGGACTCTGTTTCAGACCTCCTTGCTGTTCTGACTTAGAGCAAGCAGCTAGGCACTTTGGTGGTGGGAAAAGCACAGAGAGAGCACTTAGCACTAGAGGGCAAGTGCTTTGTACTTATACCCAACAAGGAGAGCAAAGTCCATACCTTGTGGCTGACCTCTCTCATTTCAGAATCCTAATAGGTCCACCTATTAGGTGCTGCTGGTCCACCGCCTTGCCGACGTGGGGATCCAGGGGCTCGCCCTTCAATGGCTTGCCTTTTTTCTACAAGGTCGGGGACAGAGGGTTGTGCTGGGGGAGCAGCAGTCCCAGAGGCACCTGCTTGAATGTGGAGTGCCTCAGGGAGCAGTGCTCTCCCTGATGCTATTTAGTATATATATGCGCCCCCTCACCCAGATTGTCCGAAGGTATGGGCTTGGGTGTCATCAGTATGCAGATGACACCCAGCTCTATCTGTGGTTGGGCGGCCGATCGGACTCCGTCCCAGAAGATCTTCAACGGGCTCTACAGGCCGTGGCTGGGTGGTTCAGGCTGAGCCGGCTGAAGCTGAATCCGGCGAAGACGGATGTCCTGTGTCTGGGTCGGGGTGGCATGGGATTGGGGCTCCCACTTCCGGCCTTCGATGGGGCTCTTCTTGTGCCAGCTTCGGAGGTTAGGAGTCTGGGGGTGCTCCTGGACCCCACCTTAACAATGGAGGCCCAAGTTAGCGGCCACTGCTAGAGCAGCCTTTTATCATCTTCAGCTGGTATGGCAGTTGGTCCCCTTCCTTAGCCGCGATGATCTGGCCACAGTGATCCATGCGACGGTCACCTCGAGGCTAGACTACTGTAACGCTCTCTACATAAGGCTGTCTTTGTCACAAATTCGGAGGCTGCAGCTGGTGCAGAATGCGGCGGCCAGGTTGCTGGTGGGTGTCCCTAAATAGGAAGACATCCAACGTGTGCTGAAGGCGCTGCACTGGCTGTCTACAAAACAATCAAGATACAAATATCTGCTATAGTCACAATTCCATCTGGTGACCCCGGGCCCTAAAGAGGCCAGGCTAGCTACCATGAGGGCCAGGCCCTTTTCGGTGGCGGCTCCAACCTGGTGGAATGAGCTCCCGGAGGAGATCAGGGCTCTGCGGGACCTTTTACAGTTCCGCAGAGCCTGCAAGATGGAGCTCTTCCGCCAGGCTTTTGAGTAAGAGCCGCCGCCGCCACTACCACCACCGCATAATTGTAGAGCAGAACTGCCGGGTTGGGCCGATGGAGTAATTGGAACATCGTGGCTCATGGCGTCCCCTTTCTGACCTCGGACCCCCTCCTGAT